CCACCGCAACGCCTAATTCACAAAATTGTCCAAGTTAACGACCCCCAGTGTATCTATTTGCTAATGTAACTTTTTGAGCTCACTTCGTCTCAGGCTGCTTTCGTAATTGGACAGATGAGCCGACGGAGTTAAGTGCCCTCCTTCTTTCACCCTCAAACTTTTACTTCTTCCACTGGCACTGAGCTCAGAACTTGGATGTCTTCTTCTAAAGTCCATAGTTTGTACTTTTATTTGATATCGTTCCTCGTAGAACGCGTCATGGGTGCCAACAAATACTTGTCGTCACTTGCATGCAAAGCAAAAACATGCAGAATTAAATTCGTTTAGAATAAGATAGAGTGGCAGGAGTTGTTGGTTGAATGAGGTTTTTAAGATAATGTTAGATGCAATTTGAAATTTTCTGTCTCTCTTTTATCTAACTGCCTCGATTCATAAACACTTGAAATTGTTGTCCCTTTGGAAACAATGCCAGACTTTCCTTGGGACTTATGTGGTTTAATTCCACGGGGCAAGTTCCAACTTATTACAGAACTCTTATCAATAACTCTCTTAACCCGACTCACATTGGCCGTTGATAGGTTGCCAATATAACAAAATTCGAAACTGAAATGCTGAAAGGTTGAGTTTTGCCTAGAAAAAATTATTTCCCGCATTTTCTATGCGTCCATCGATTATGGCAACATGTCAATTATTCGATCAAAATGTTTCATCAGTCGGGCTATGGTCAATAGGAAAACACTTTGTCTATACAAAAAGCAATCTTTAATTAATGAAATGAGCATTGAGTAACTAAAGTCCGTCTCTTCCTTTGCCTCGAGTCAAATGTACTCTGGCGCAAACGGAGAGCTGATGTATCAAAACGGCAGGGCATCGCTAAGGCATAAAGAAGGCGAACTTGTCAAAATACCTCTTTCCTAGGCGCTGAAGTTTCCTTCAGTGCTCGAGCCCTATTCAAGTACTGAGTTGCATTCCATTTTGCCAACTTAAATTACGCCACAATCACAGTCATGCCCCATGGAAGGCGTCTCCTCCTCACGCAACTGAAGAACTGACGAGGAACAAGTATTTCTCGGTTATCTGTGTTGTTATTTATTTGCTGCAGAAGGTTAATGTACTTTTCTTCCATGTTAGACAGTCGCAACTCTGACGAATGTCAAATTTTTGCTAATAAATTGAATTAAGATTGACATTACCGGGAAAAGTATGGAATGCGAAGCACTTCAAAAAGGAAGACAGCTATGAAATGAAGATTAAAAGGATATTCGAATAAGAAAAGCGCTTTCTTTCATCCTATAGCTAATTAATTATAAGGAAATAAACGTGATATAGCTAATTGCCGCTTTGCAGTGATTGTAGTAATACTTCCAAAATCATCAAATCAATCATTTATAGATTTTCACTAGTGTTAATATTCCACTTGCTGCCACAAATTTGACGTTTTAATCCAAAGGACATCCATTCGTGATTGGAAGTTCTGCTCAGATGGGCAGTAGTCAGTTTTCAAAGCGAAATCTATTCAATGCAGGAGATTTTATCCACAAACCCCAATGGGAGATAATCCTACGGTCGAACGATTTCTATTCCCTGGATAGCGAAATGGGAAAAAGCGAGGTGTATCCACATGGTGGGTCTCAAAAGGAGCAGAATATTTGATAAAGTAAAGCTTTAACTGGTGAAAGTGCAAAAAATGCAGCAAAATGCCTGTCAAACTGCCCTCGAGTATGGGAGGACAATTTCCTAAACAGGAAATTTGAAATTTTCATTAATGCCTGGAGCGATTAAACTGTATCAAAACGAACTCCCTGAAATTGAATGACTTCCGGAAAAGTGAAAGAAAGCGTCAACATCATTTTCTACTCCGTCTCAGTTTCCACCTGGCAGAAAACATTTAAATCAAATTCAAAATTTTGTCTGACTGAATGTCATTCACTAAAATCCTCTATTTTCACTCTATCGGTAAAAATGAGTACCGGTGTTATGTTTGCCTAAGTGAGCAAT